ATTACCAATTCAGGCTCCTTACTCTTTATTGGTCTGTTCAGATTTTCTGTTTCTTCATGATTTAGTTTTGGTAGGTTGTATGTTTCTAGGAATTCATTTTTTTTCTAGGTTATTTGTTGGCATATAATTGTTCACGGTAGTCTTATACTCCTTTTTATTTCTATAGTATCAGTTGTAATGTGTCCTCTTTCTTTTCTGATTTTGAGTCTTTTTTTTCTTAGTGTAGCTAAAAGTTTGTCAGTTTTATCTTTTCAGAAAGCATCTCTTAGTTTTGTTGATCTTTTCTGTTTTTCCAGTCTTTTTAATTTATCTCTTCTCTGATCTTTGTTACAATTTCCTTTCTTCTGCTAACATTGGGCTTATTTTTTTTCTTTTCTAATTTTTTTTAACTTTTTTTTATTTTTCTTTTTCTAATTTCTGGAGGCATGATGATGTTAGGTCGTTATATTTGAGATAGTTTTTTTTTTTCTTTCCTTTTTTTTTAAAGTAGGCTCCATACCCAAGGTGGGGCTTGAACTCACTACCCTGAGATCAAGAATTGCATACTACCAACGAGGCCAGCCAGGCACCCCTATTTGGAAAAAATATGTATTTGAGAGAGAAAGAGTGTGGTGGGGAAGGGCAGAGGGAGAGAGGAACTTAAGCAGACTCCATGCTGAGCACAGAGCTCAGTCTCAGAATCCTGAGATCACGACCTGAGCTGAAACCAAAAGTCAGAGGCTTAACCCACTGCACCACCCAGGCACCCCAAGGTATTTGTTAATGTACGCATTTATCACAAACTTCCCTCTTAGAAGTACTTTTGCTGTATCATATAAGTTTTGGTATGTTGTATTTCTATTTTCATTTGTTTCAAGATATTTTTTATTTCAGTTTTTATTACTTTGACCCATTGCTTATTTAGTGGCGTACTGTTTAATTTCCATATACTTGTGAATTTTCCAGTTTTCCCTTAATTGATTACTATTGTGGTTGGAAAAGATACTTGGTATGGTTTCAGTCTTCTTTAATTTGCTAATACTTGCTTTGTGACCTAACATGATCTATACTGGAGAATATTCCTTGTGCACTTGAGAAGAATGTATTCAGCTGCTGGTTGATTGGTCGGTATATGTCTGTTACAACCACTTTGTCTAAAGTATATGTAGTCCAAGTCCAACATTTTCTTACTGATTTTCTGCCTGGATGATCTTTCCATTGTCGAAAGTGGGGTATTAAACTTCCCTACTATTATCGTATTGTTGTCTATTTTTCCCTTCAGATCTATTGGTATTTGCTTAATCCACTTGGGTCCTCTGATGTCGAGTGCATGTAGTCATACCTTGTTTTATTGCACTTCACAAACCGCGTTTTTTGTGGCAGTCCTGTGTTGCGCACGTCTGTTGGCACCATTTTTTCAACAGCACTTGCTTCATGTCTCTGTCACTTTTTGGTAGTTATCACAATATTTCAGACTTTTTCATTATTATTTGTTTATGGCGATCTGTGATTAGTGATTACCACTCCCTGAAAGTTTAGATAATGATTAGCATTTTTTAGCAATAAATATTTTTTTATTAACATATATACATTGTGGTTTTAGACATAATGCTGTTGCATACTTAACAGTTTACAGTATAGTGTAAACATAACTTTTATTTGCACTAGGAAACCAAAAAATTGATTTGACTCACTTTTGGCAGTGGTTCTTAACCTACCCATATCTCCAAGGTATGTCTATATATTTACAACTGTTATATCCTCTTGATGAACTGACTTCTTTACATAATGGCCTTCTTCATCTCGTGTTACAGCTTTTGAGTTAAAGTGTATTTTCACTTATATTAGTATAGCTACTCCTGCTCTCTGTTGGTTTCCACTTGCATGAAATTTCCTTTTACATCCCCTCATCTTGAGCCTCTGTGTGTCCTTGAAGCTGAAGTGAGTTTCTTAGAGGTAGCATATAGTTGGGCCTTGTTGTCTGTCCATTCAGCCACTCTGCCATTTGATTGGGAATTTAATCCATTTACATTTGGAGTAATATGGGTAAGAACTTACTAATGCCATCTTATTAATGGTTTTTAGCTATTTTGTAGTTCCCATGTTCCTTTCTTCCTCTCTTGCTATCTTCCTTTGTGCTTAGGATTTTTCCACAGTGCTGTTCTCTTTATCTTTTGTATGTTTTCTGTAGGCTTATGCTTTGTGGTTACCATGACTCGTCTTCTCTTTCTAAGAAAATTTGTCCTGTAAAGCCAGTTGTATTTTGACATTTCCTAAAACCACGTATCTGCCAAGTAATTGACCAAGTAACTTATCTTTTGATTACCTGTGTCATCATCAAACAAAAATAAATAGATAAAAAGTATTGAAAATAGCAAAGACAGTGTTGAAAATAAAGAGCAAACGAGAGTAAGGGACTTGACCTACAACCATACCATGTATTAAAACACATGAATCTACAGGGCGCCTGGGTGGCTCAGTTGGTTAAGCAACTGCCTTCGGCTCAGGTCATGATCCTGGAGTCCCGGGATCGAGTCCCGCATCGGGCTCCCTGCTCGGCAGGGAGTCTGCTTCTCCCTCTGACCCTCTTCCCTCTCGTGCTCTCTGTCTCTCATTCTCTTTCTCTCAAACAAATAAATAAAATCTTAAAAAAAAAAACACATGAATCTACAATAGTTAATACAAATTGACAGACAGATAATAGAGACCAGAATAGATAAACTCTAAAACTTAAATGATAAAAGAGGCATCACAGATTAATGAAAAATGAATGGGTATTATTTTTTTAAAGATTTATTTATTTCTGAGAGAGAACACGCAGGTGCACAGGTGTGGGGCGGGGTCCCGGGAGAGGGAGAGAAGCAGACTCTCCACTGAGTGCAGAGCCCCACACAGGGCTCGATCCCAGGAACTTGAGGTCATGACCTGAGTGGAAATGAAGAGTCAGACACTTAACCAATCAAGCCATCCAGGTGCCCCTGAATGTGTATTATTTTTTAATGCTGTGGGAACCTGGGTGGTCAGTCAGTTGAGTGTTATCACTCTTGATTTCAGCTCAGGTTATGATCTCAGGGTTGTGAGATTTTCAGCAAAAGGACAAGTTAATATCCTTAATTTATGAAGAGATGTTTATAGGCTAATAATTTTAACTACATCCCAAGTTTAAAATGGACAAAGACATGTCACAGAATAGGGGCGCCTGGGTGGCTCAGTCGTTAAGCGTCTGCCTTCGGCTCAGGTCATGCTCTCAGCGTCCTGGGATCGAGCGCCGCATCGCGCTCCCTGTTCCATGGGAAGCCTGCTTCTCCCTCTCCCACTCCCCTTGCTTGTGTTCCTGCTCTTGCTGTCTCTCTGTCAAATAAAATCTTTAAAAAAAAAAGTCAGAGAGGAAATAAAATTGACAAACATGGTAATGTCCAGTATAGTAGGAATCTTAACCAAAATATTAGCCATGCTTATCTCTATGTGGTGAGATCCAGGGTTATCATCCTTCTTTGTATTTTCAGTATTTTCAGTATGGATTACTTTTATAATAAGGAAATATGTAAACGTAAGATTTAAACCCATCCAGTGAATTAATATAAGGCTCTTGGGATATTATCTGATTATATGTATTAAGAATCATTAAAAATACTGTTTATCATTAAATTAGTATTTCCATTCCTAAGAATTTGTGTTAGGGAAATAACTGTAAAGTTCAGGGAGGAAGAACTGTCTTCATGAATATATTCTCTGGTTATGTTCTTTATTGCTATGAAACATTAAAATCTAGAGTTTTAAGAATTATAATGCAACCTGATAGGATATTAGGTAGCCATTAAAGATAATGATCATAGGGCGCCTGGGTGGCTCAGATGGTTAAGCGTCTGCCTTCGGCTCAGGTCATGATCCCAGGGTCCTGGGGTCGAGTCCCGCATCGGGCTCCCTGCTCCTTGGGAGCCTGCTTCTCCCTCTGCCTCTCTCTCTCTCTCTTTCATGAATAAATAAATAAAATCTTTAAAAAAAAAAGATAATGATCATAAAAGACTAATTAATTTGGGCAGAGATGCTGATACTGTGAAGTCACAAATGCAGAATACAGAATTGCATTTATATTTTATTTCAGTTTAAAGACATGCATGAGTAAAATAAGTCATGGAGATGAAAAGTACAGCATAAGGAATATACTCAATAATATTGTAATCATGTTGTATGGTAACAAATGGTAACCACATGTGATGAACATTGAGTAATGTATAAAGTTGTCTAATCACTATTGTATACCTGAACTTATAGAACATTATATATCAACTGTACTTTAATCGTTAAAAAAATTAATTTAAAAACAAATGCATGAAATTTAAACTTGGGAAGGAAAAATAGAAAAAATTAAAATAGTTATTATTAATTTTTTAAATGTGTTGAGATTGCAAGGGTTTTTCTTCCTGTTTCTGTTTTTGTTATTTCTATTTTGTTTTGTTGTAAAAACTGGGAGGGGGGAAAAAAGCCAGCGGGCATGCAGAGGAAGAACAAAGTAAACTCTCTCTCCTTCCCTACAATTACATATCTCCTCTAGGAAGTTTATTTCCTCTTCCCAGCAAAAAGTCCTATAATCTATTAATGTGATTGGGAGTTAGATGATGTCTATAGTTTACATTAAAATGCATTCAGAAAAAGATGGATTGATACACAGATAATGTGATTAAGGAAATATAACAAAATGTTGGTAATAATTGAATCTCAGTGGTGGGTATATAGGTATTCACCTGACATTTTCAACTTTTCTGTAGGTTTGAAAAATGTTCATAATAAAATGTTAAGAGAAAAAATGATTTTGAATATGTTTGTGGGGGAAATGAGAAAAATAATAGCCAGTTTTTTAAATAAGCAGTATTCACTAAGGAGTTTTTATTTTCTGTCTGCATTATAAAGCAACATATGTACAGCAGGCAGTGAGATGCTGTCTTTAAGGTAGCATGCCTTTGAAATTTACTGGATTTTCTTCTCTCTCTCTCTCTCTGTGTGCACGCATGCACGTGCAGCTATTTTGTTTTCCTATATCTTACAAAAGATAGTCGTTTCCTCACCATAAATATTATGAACAAGACTACTTCTGAAGTGTGGTTGATAGATGGCCTAAGCCCTTGGGACCCACCAGTACTTATCCAGAAGCGAATACATGGAGTCCTTTACTACGTTGAACACAGAGATGATGAATTATACATTCTCACTAATGTTGGCGAGCCTACAGAATTCAAGGTAATCCTGGATTCTCTGTATACCCATTTGAACTGTTAAAAAGTGTCACACTTCCGGGGCGCCTGGGTGGCTCAGATGGTTAAGCGTCTGCCTTCGGCTCAGGTCATGATCCCAGAGTCCTGGGATCGAGCCCCACATCGGGCTCCTGGCTCAGCGTGGAGCCCGCTTCTGCCTCTCCCCCTGCTCATGCTCTCGCTCTCTCTCTGTATCTCTGTGTCTGAAATGAATAAATAAAATCTTTAATAAAAAAAAAAAGTGTTACACTTCCATCAACAACATTTCTTGCTCTAGGAGTTAACTGTTTTATAGGCTTTTGGTTACGTGTAGAAATTGATGCTACCTTCCTATTGATAACCAATCCCATTTCTCTTCCCTTAGATATAATGCCTGTACATATTGTAATTGTGCCTAAAAAGGTTAGTAAATGACACATACTTTATCCTGTTCTTAGCAGTTATCAAAGCCAAACTTAATGATTTGAAAGAATAAACTTTTATAAACTCATGATTTTATAAGTTTCAGCAATTTGGATTGATCTCAGCTAGGCAGTTCTGCTGGTCCCAGCTAGGCTTCCCAGTGCATCCCTAGTTAGCCGTTTCTCAAATGCCTTCATTCAAACATTCATTGGTTTGCTGTAAGGTAAGCACTAGGCCATGCTGTCTCACCACATGGCAGGCTAGCCTGGGCTCGTTCATACGATGATGGTCACACTGCAGCCCTGTTGCAAGCTCGTTCCTTTGGCTCTTCATAAAACAGTGAAGATTAATATGGTCTAGTTTTCTGGATGCTAGAAAGTTAGCATGTTTTGTTACCTAGATCTCTTCTGACTTTGTTCCACACAGCTCATGAGAACAGCAGCTGATACCCCTGCTATTATGAACTGGGATTTATTTTTCACAATGAAGAGAAATACCAAAGTTGTAGACTTGGACATGTTTAAGGATCACTGCGTTCTGTTCCTGAAGCACAGCAATCTACTTTATGTTAATGTGATTGGTCTGGCTGATGATTCAGTTCGGTCCCTAAAGGTATGTTTAATTTTCAAAAGGACGATGCTGTTAATCAAAATCCATACAGTTTAGTTTAACAGAACATCAAATTTTGAATAGTAGCAATGTACTTTTTCTTAAATTTAATTTAAATGAAACATAGCATATTGGGTTTTTTCATGTTTAGGAGGTTTATTTTAGAATTATTTAGAGGACCTTGATTTTAATAAAGTTTTACTTAAAATACTGTCTTGTAGCATGAACTTCAGAAGTAGAGGTCAGTGTCATCATATTTCTCTTTCTACATATCTCTATGTATCATACATCTCTACAACTTTAGGTATGCTGATAGCTCGGGCCAGCTTGCCAGCTAGTGCCTAACCAACCATTGCTTGCTGCTCCCATCCCACACCCCGAATAGGGATGTGCCTGCTGTATTTCTGCCATTATGTCTGCACCATCTTCTTGCCAATTTTCTTAACCTGCTGGGGTTTGGGGGAAGGGAGTGGCAGTGGTCTCCACGGCAGCACAGCCGTGATGGTGGCACATTTGCCTGGCAGGCTGAGTTGCTTGTATTGCCTGTGGCTGCCAGGAAAGATAATCTGCCTCCACAAGTGAACTTGTTAAAATTGGTGAGTGCCAACCTTATTGCCCAGTGTTAAAGCAGCATTAACATGTAGGTCAGATAACAGGTGCTGAAGGGAAGGGGAAAGGCCTCCATTTTACTTGATAGGGAAAAAGTTGTTAAGCCAGTTGACCACTTATACCTCCCTAATTGCATTATTGTTATAGTCTCCTAAAACGCACTTCTAGTAAATTCACTGGATGTTTATTGAACTTCTGTACACAAAGATTAAGTATACAATGGGCTTATGTAAGTGGCCCAGGAAAGCTTGTGTAGGGGAAGTAGAATTTGAGATAAACTTAAGAGGATAGATAGAATTCTGACAGGGAGGGAAATGGTATTATAGGATGAGAAAGTCCATCAAATAAAGCTCTAAGCTGGAGAAGTTCAGAAAATGTTCAGGAAACTGCTAATAATTCTGTTTTATTGAAGCACAAACGTATGTAGGATGAAGCTGTGATTTGACGTTCTTTGACTTTCAAATGAGAAACTTATGCATAAATTGTGAAGAGAGGAACATTTGAAGTTTTGGGGCATAGAAATGAGTTGAGTCGAGTTATACTTCATGAGGTTATCTGGCGGCCATTTTAGGCTCCACCAAAGCTTGCTTTGATGATGAGGCGCAAGGAAATTAGCTTCAAGTTTGTTATGGTATACATAAGAAATACCAAGGTTCCTAAAACAACCAGAATTTTCCAGCTACTCCCTAAAATCAAATTATCAAATAGGACATCTTGTATTTTAGAGGACTATGTAGGTGTCCTTAAAATAAAAATGGTGATTTAAACTTAGTGATTTTCTTATTGCCTTCATCTACTGGATTCAAAGTTTCTTTTTACTTGCTAATTGATGCCAAAACCATACATCTTCAATTGGGAAATTGAAGAAAGGGAAATCCCATCTTGAATAGGGATGAGAGAGAATGTATAATTTCTAGCAGTGCATTTCTTACAGCAAAATTGTATGTCAAGACAATTGGGATGTTATGAGAGTTTTTACTATAATAAAATTTGACTTCTCGGGGCGCCTGGGTGGCTTAGTCGTTAAGCATCTGCCTTCGGCTCAGGTCATTCTGGGATCGAGCCCCACATCGGGCTCCCTGCTCGGCGGGAAGCCTGCTTCTCCCTCTCCCGGTCCCCATGCTTGTGTTCCCTCTCTCGCTGTCTCTCTGTCAAATAAAGAAAGAAAATCTTGACAGAGAGAGAGACAGCGAGAGAGGGAACACAAGCAGGG